GGGGGGGGGGAGAGAGAGAGATTAGGAAGCACAGCTTAGGGAAAGCATTGGAGGAACCATACTGTTGAACAAGCCTTCCCTTCTTCTTCAAGGGAGGGAGGGAGGGAGGGAGGGAGGGAGGGAGGGGCAGGCAGGTAGGCAGAGACAGAGAGATGAGAGAGAGGGAGAGAGAGAGAGTTCTCTTCCTTGTGTCCCTGTCTCAGTGAGGGGGCCCACTGTTAAGACCCCAGACCTTCAAGGTTGTTAAAAAGAGGCTGAGAGTTTAGGCAACTCAAACTGGTCCTTTAAGTATAGGAGAGGCAAAGAGGGGACTAGGGAAATGTGTTTATTGGTGCACAGATTTCATCGTAAAGCTGAGCACGTACATTGGCTGACATGATAAATGAGAGGTCAAAACCAGAAAGATAGGGTAGGGTGAGTCCGTGATACCGCACTTATGAGGTTCCCATCTGTGTGGAGGCAGGACTTGGTGGTGATGTGGCTGGTTGGGGGTCACCCTTGTTTCTAAACACCAGTGTGAACATTATTCATTCATGGAAATACTCCCACAGGAATAAAGGAAACCAGACTGACCATTACACTCCAGTAAAAGGCCAACTGTCCAACAACTCTAGCAGGAAGCCCATTTGTGAACCAAATCAGGCAGCCTGCCGAGAAACAATAGGCGATGTGACCACAATGACTACGACAAGTCCACAGTTCTTCAAACACCCAGGCACATTGGTCAAATACAGTCATGGAAAGTGTTCGGTTTCAAACCTGGGACGAACAGCCGAGGTGCCTATTTAACAGATCAAAGCTGGACCTGGCCGCCAGGTTCTCCCAGCATCCCTCAGTCCCTACCCTGCCCTCTACCCTGAACTCTCCTTCTCCAGGGGCTGGGCTGTCCTTCCCCCAGAGGCTCTTCCCTATGTAATCCAGGCATTTTGGTTACCTGCCCCCTTTTAGATCTTTGACCTTCTGGCTACTGAACCTGGTGCCCTCTCCCCCCCTCTCCTTCCCCCTCCCCTTCTCCCACATGGCCCTGCTCAGTCTGGTCATGTCCACTCTGGACTCTCCAAGATGTCCCTGCCTCTGTGCTCTCCCATTTATCTATAATAAGCCTTCTTCTCCACTATATCTAGGAGCAGTCATGGCCTTTCCTTTCCTTTTAATTTATTTTTCATTCAGAGAGAAAAATACCAGAAATCTACCACAAAAAAGTAGAACTGTGAGCTTCTTGACAAAGAGATCAACATAACGGCTTTAAGAGAAATGTAAAGAAACAATTCAATGAACTAAGAAACAAAACAGTAAATATTTATGTTATCAAACGTGGAGAAGTTGAGCTGGCGCTCAACTTGAAGCTTTACTCCTACTGACTAGCACTCATGGTGCTGGAGGGTACTCTGCACAGTACTGGAGAAGAAAAGTAATCGTCAGCCTCTCACAGCTACAAACCCTGTGACCTAAAATAGCAACTTGTCTGCAAGATAGACCTACTGGTGCAATAATGGTACAGCTGTTGATGGGAGTAACCACCTGCTTCTTGGGCGGATCCAAGTCCTGCTCTACAAGACGGAACGAGCTCATACCCAACACGTTAATAAGTTCAAGAACCTCAGTAGATAGGTCATGGGCTCCAGGGGAGAACGATCACTATTATTTTATTGCTAAATGAACATAGCAATAAAATAACTCCAAATGGCATACTACTCTACCCACAGATCAGAGTATTGTTCAGCCTTCATCAGAGAAACTTATTTTAGCACTAGATGGTGATTGACAGCGAGGCCCACAAATTAGACAATGTGTAGAAAGTGAGAAACATGTGGCAGAAAGCCTGTGCCTGTGGTGGTTTGAAAGGAAATGGCCCCCAAAGGGAGTGGCACTATTAGGAGGTGTGGCCTTGCTGGAGGAAGTATGTCACTGTGGAGGTGGGCTTTGAGGTCTCCTATATGCTCAGGCCACATCCAGTATCTTTTTTTTTTTTCTTTTTGGTTTTTCGAGACAGGGTTTCTCTGTGTAGCTTTGCACCTTTCCTGGAACTCGCTTTGGAGACCAGGCTGGCCTTGAACTCACAGAAATCTGCCTGCCTCTGCCTCCCGAGTGCTGGGATTAAAGGCGTGCGCCACCACCGCCCGGCCCACATCCAGTATCTTAATTCACTTCCTGTTGCCTTTGGATCAAGATGCCAAATCCTCAGCTCCTTCTCCAGCACCACATCTACCTGCATGCCACCATGCTCCCCGTCATGATGATAATGGACTAAGTCTCTGAACCCGTACAGTAAGCTGACACCTCAATTCAGCGTTCTCCTTTGTAAGAGTTACCATGCTCATGTTCGCCCTTCACAGCAATAGACACCCTAAGACCAAGCCCTTGATGGGATGACGTCATCAAACTTAAGGCTCGGGGATCTGTGTGGAAGAGGAGATGGAAGGATGGTAAGAGCCGGAGGTGGTGGATGACTCCGAGGAAACAGCCTTTACCAGATTCAACGGGGCTGATGCAGGTAGGCTCTCACAGAGGCTGTGACAGCATGCAGAAGGCCTGCGTAAGCTCAAGCCAAATACAATTCTAGCATGGAGAAGGGGACGTGGACACCCCTGACCAAGAAGCTCTCTGCAGTTGATGAGGGCTGCTTAGAGAGGGAAACTTCGTTTTCTTCAACGGAGTGACACTGGGTATATCAACCACCCTCTAGGGCGGACCTCATGCTGAGGAGGAGTTAAGTGAAGCAAAGTGGACTCCATGGTCCCCCTTGTTCTTTTTGTTTGTTTTGAGCCTCAGAGGGGAAGATTGGCTTTGTGTGTATCTGTGTCTCCCCTCCCCCTTTTCAAGAGCGAGAAGGAACTTGAAGTTGGGAGGAATTCAGGAATGGAAGCAATATGATTAAAATATACTCTATGAAAATATTTTAAAATGATTTTTTAAAACAAAGCTGGAGGGTAATGATAGAACCTCGTCTAACAACATTGTCCTTTATCATTAAAAAAACAAAAAACAAAACAAAAAGTTACCAGAGACTGAAATCATAGCCACAAGCTATACAAAGAGCTTTTGGGAGGACAGTAGGTCCTGTATGTTACAATAGACCCATTAGGTTAAATCACCTAGTGACGTTATAGCTATTCTGGCTTATGTGTATCATGTCAGTTCTGCATGAGTAAAGATGTTTAAAAGATTAAAAGGAAAGAAAGAGAGAGAAGTGAAAATGTGGTTGGAGTCTGAGCAGTTTGTATAGGATACCACCCAGCATACAGCACCCGACCAGTGTAGCCCAGAGTGGGGATTCACTCTCCTTTCCATTTCCGGTCAACACACTGAGATCAAGCAGCAATAAGAGGATGCATTTTATTAGCCTTTCTACATTTGATCATCTGTCTCCTTCCCATTCCCACCACCTCTCATCTCGTGCACACCGCTATGGGGAGCCCTGTTGTGATTCTCAGGGCGGGAGGACCAGAGGGTTGGTCTCCCCTGCGGGCCCTGGGCACTCAGTGGAGCGACTTTCCTTCCCAGGGAAAGGCAAAACCACCAGCTTCTTTTCCTCAGGCCCCAGGTAGAGGAAGGAAACATCCAGCTTCTCCCCCTGAGGATCCGTGGTTAGATCCAGCTGCACAGGGAAGGCATCCTCAGGACTCTTTTCCTCGGCAGCTTCCCCAGGGCTCTTTCCCTTGGAGGCTTCAGGCTTCTCAGCATCCAGGTCAGGGAGGTGCTGGACAGATCCTTTTGGAGCAGTTACGGAGGGGGAGCTGACGGGGGCTTTGTTCTTCTGAGGGGCCTCGTCGTCCGCGGAGGGCTGTTTCTTGGACTCCTGGGTAACAGCAGGGTTCTCACCTCCAGGGACCTGAGCCTGAAATAACAATGTTTTCAAATGCACAATTCTACAGGGAATGCCCTGCCGCATCCAGCACCAGGCAAAGCAGTTTTGTGACTGCGGATCTGTAACATGGCGTTGCATAGCCTAGGCTCAAATTCTTCCTCTCCTGCCTCAAGTCTTCCGGGTGCTGGGGTTACAGGCTTACAGGATGCTTACAGAAACCAGCCACAGCAGCGGTTCTCAGCCTTCCTAATGCTACCATGCCTTAATACTACAGTTCCTTAGGTTGTGGTGACCCCCAACCATAAAATTACTTTCATGGCTACTCCATAACCGTAATTTTGCTACAGTTATGAATTGCACTGAAAATACCCATGTTTGCTGATGGTCACAGACCAACCCTGTGAAAGGGTCATTCACCTCCCCTGGGGGTTGCGACCCACAGGTTGAGAACCATTACAGGGATGGGCCTCCTGATATGAAGATTCATCATAAAACAGGTGGGGGTCAAGTGGAACCAAGGCCTGCAGAAGCTGGTCAGCAGGTCTCCCCTTTTCAGAGCGGTGGCCCAGAGGGGCTTGAGGATGGACCCTGAGTCCCCAGTGAGTTGCCTTTGCTCCCGGGAGTAGCAGCAGGTATACCCTCTTTTACTGTGTGTTTTGTGCCAGGCAGGGTATGGTTGGTTCCCTCCATCCAAATCCTCCCCCTGGTCCATCTTAGAGATCAGAACAGGCAGGTGATGAGGGTAGGTGCCAGTGGCCACACAGCCCACAGGGACAGAGAGCAGGGATGAGGCCCAGGCAGCCTGTCTGACTGGAACAGGCTACCCCACAACAAGTACTTAGTATTGTGGAGAGGGATTGGACGTTTTCACGGAAGCGAGTCTCCCTGAGATGAGAGAGGTCTCTCCGAGGTACTGAATTTCGCACCTTGAATGCTTTAAGCTGTGCATGTTTGCCGTTCTCTGTTCCAGAGTTCTCCCTTATCCTACGGGGCCACACCGAGACTAAAGCGTAGGGTAACTTTCTCCCCTGTAGCTATGGGCTTAGATAGCCTAAGTAAACTGACCCTGGATCTTGGGAAAACCAAAAGGGGGTGGGGCATAGGCACCTAGAGAGGAGAGGGATCCTCTGATTCCATGGAAAAACACCGGGGTTAGGATGGTAGGGCTCACTGGGGAAAGCCACGCTCCTGCAAACCCAGCGGCCTGAGTTCGAGCCCCCAGAACCCATGTAAAGGTGAAGGGGAGAGCAAACTGTTATCACGTGGCCCTCTGACACCACGTGTGTGCCATGGCACATGTGCTTATACACTTACATTGTGCAAACACGCAATAATGATAACATTAAAAAAAACCAACAACAGATAAATACCTGAGGTTCGAAAAACTCACACGTCACAGACACAGACTTTTCTAAGGGTCCTTGCATCAGGGAACCGTGGCAAAGACCGACAGGCTAAAGGAAGAAAGACGTCATGTGAGTTTTAAGTTACCGGTGAGCAGAGCCCTGGCTTTCTGCTTGTGTAGACACACAGGTGCACCATGCTTTTCTGCTCCTGCCTTGAAAGAGGGCAGGCTCCACACCAGTTCCCTCTCAATTATCTAAAAACAACCAAGTCCAGCTTGCTTCTGGCAATGGTAACAGTTTCAGGAAGTTCCTCCGATGTCTACACATTGCCCACCGCCTGGCCTGGGTCTGTCCTTACACACTGTCCACCGCCTGGCCTGGGTCTGTCCTTACACACTGTCCACCGCCTGGCCTGGGTCTGCTCTTACACACTGTCCACCGCCTGGCCCTGGGTCTGTCCTTACACACTGTCCAACGCCTAGCCCTGGGTCTGCTCTTACACACTGTCCACCGCCTGGCCCTGGGTCTGTCCTTACACACTGTCCACCGCCTGACCTGGGTCTGCCCTTACACACTGTCCACCGCCTGGCCCTGGGTCTACCCTTAGATCAGTGAGGAAGATCAGTGGTTTCCTCCCTATAACAGTGCTTAATGTGTTCTGAATGAAATTTTGTCTTCTCAGGCAACAACACTCTCAGCTCCTTCACCTTCTGACTATTTGAAAATGAATTTACTTTTTAAAAATTATGAACGTAATAAATCATTATTTAGAACTACATAAATGAAAAGAAAGAAACCTGACCTGTAACTCCATGAATGGTTCTCATTACTTGCAATCCTTTAATCCTTTTCTTCTTTTTTCTATGCATGTATATTTTTCTTTTAAGCACTAAGACCATATTGCATATGATATTTTATAACTATTTTGCCACCGAACAATATATTGCAAAAAAAAAAATTGTGTGGCATTGGATAGTTTCTTATGTTTTTCTTGGTTGTTGTTGTTGTTTCGATGATTATCTTTATAATGGCTGTGGCTGCCTAGTATTTCTCTGTATTTAATAAAGCCTCTGTCAAACAACTAGATTTGATCTAATTTTTTAAAAAATATTGAAAATATCTTTTCATGTATCTTGCTCTGTAGACCAGGCTGGGCTTGAACTCAGAAATCCTCCTGCCTCTGCCTCCCAAGTGCTGGGACTAAAGGTGTGTGCCACCAGGCCCTGCCATCATATATTACTCTAGTTTCTTCCTTAGAGTAAATCCTTATGTGTTGGTTTGAATGAAAATGTCTCCTTTAGGCTCAAATATTTGAATTCTTGGTCCCTATTTGGTGGAACTGTTTGGGAAGGATTAGGGGGTATGGACTTGTTGGAGGAGGTGTGTCATTGGGGGGTAGGCTTTGGGTTTCAAAAACCTACACCATTTCCAGTTAGTTCTCTCTGCCTCCTACTTGTGGATCAAGATGTAAGCTCTCAGCTCCTGCTCTAGCACAATGCCTACCTGCTTGTTACCATGCTCCCCCTCATGATGGCCATGGACTCTAACCCTCCGAAGCTGTAAGCCCAAATAAACTCTATCTTCTATACATTTCCTTGCTCATGGTATCTTATCATAGCAATAGCAAAAATAACCAAGACACCCTAGAAGAATTATTTTAAGGTCATAGTGTACATACATTTTCGATGAAAAGTTAACTATTGTACTAAAATGCTGCCTCAAATTCCAAAGAAGAACTCTTAAGTACATTCACATAAAATTTACCAAAATACATCTGAACAGGCTGTCTGAATATTGCTCTATATCCCTTTCCAGGTCACATGAAGAAAAGACCAGAAATTCTTCAAGGCGGGAAAGTCATTAACGTAACATGGTACCCCAGCCTTTCCTTTTGCTCTTCACCACCGTGGCTGAGAGAACCTTCCAGAGAAACTGCAGGTGCTTGTGGCAAGAACACAGTAACTAGAATTTTGTGAATTATCAAAGCCTGTGCACTCCCGGGTGTAGCACTGGAGTGGAGGGGATCGTGATGTCTGTACTTCAGCATCGCCACTCGCCGGCTGGGCTGATGGAGTCAATTGTTCCAGTTTCTTTTTAAAATAAATAGCTCTCCCTGGCCTCCTCTCTGCACACTGCCTGATTTCCGTTTGTACAAACTATCTAAATGAACAAAGCTATTGAGACAGGAATTGGGTTCACAGTTTTCAGGGGCTTCAGAGGGCGGCAATGGGGCCTGGCTTCGTGGAGATGGGGTTTCTTTTGAGAGCTAATAAAAGCATTTAAAGATTATGAAGTGGTTATGGTGGCACCGGTCTGTGAATATACTACAAAAACGGAATTATCCACCTTACAAGGATAAATCTTATTGTGCATGAACTGTCTCTCAATAGAGCACTTACATAAGTAAATACATAAAAGTATTTTTAGTGAGCCTTGTGCAATTGTGCTCCAACACACCTTGCTGATTGACGGTCCCAGTGTATTTCTGACAGTTTTGGGGTGCCTCCTCCCTTCCTTATTTACTTAGCCTTTCTTTTGTGAAGAGTGGTCCCAAGAGTGGAACACCATGCCGTATTCCACGTCCCTTTTGCAACCGTGTTACGTTGATGACGAAAATCACTCTTAGAACCAAATAAATCCCATCACCGAGTCGAGACCTGCCCGATTTCTAACTCTCGAGGGATGGGGAAGCACCCTGTGCTCTGTGACATCCCCAGTGTAATTTGTGCTCACCAAATCCTGGTGATCTGGGAACGCACACAGATTGTACAGACAGCCTGGGAGCACTCACCGCAGAGTCAGAGGGCTGGAGGGGACAGCTGGCCTGGGATTTGGTACATGATGACTCTTTGACCAAATAATGCACAAAGTAAGAAGGGCCAGTCACCCACTGTCATGAAATAAAAGTTAAGACATTAAAAATCTTACCCCAGGGAAAACTCAGGGTTGGCAACCTTCCTTGAACAGAATTGTCACCACACAAACTCACCGCTCCCAAAAGTCCCCATGGGCACCAAACTATGTCAGTAACTCTGCTGTTTAGAAGACATAAATCAGTGCCTTTCCCTGTTAAGGGTGTGAAGGGCACCATAAACATTTTCTCTTAGACAGCTTATTTTTTCCTTATGAAGATGTGTCTCCTATTTATATATTTATTTATATAAGAGAGATAACAACACAATTGAAATAAAAATGAGCCTCCTAGTCCATAACTCATAAAACTCAACACCTACCTGAGGCCTTAATGCATCAAAAGTTGTCTCGTTAAACGGTCCATAATCAGTCAGAAATAAGTGCACTTATGTCCCCCACAAACCCACATGAGACTACGAATCTGTTCTTCTGGCTTTAAGGTTGGAGAAATAAAATCAAGTCACCTGACACTTGCGCAAATCTCAAGGAAAGCCAGAAGCCGTGGCCTGAGGGAATGTGCAGCAGATTTACTAGAAATGGGTCTGTAGAGAAAGGATCTCAGGTCCTAAGCAGACAGAAGACCTACGTAGCCTCCCCCCAACCGAAGACCTGCAGCTACAGTCCGTGTAACTAACCCGGGCATTTTAGTTTTACCTGGCTAGTGGCCCTAGTGACTTTGACGAGAGAGTACTGCTTTGAGGGGCTCTCACTGTTGAACTTCGCAAGCGACTCCGTGGCAGCTTCCAGAACTCTGGGGTCCGACAAGTCAACAGGGCCCGGGCAGTCAGGGCACATGAAATGAATCTTTCTTTGAGAAACTATTGACGAGAATAGTTTATTAATTTTCCATCCTAATGAGAGTCATAACCATACAACTATACCACAGGCAAAGACTGAACTAAAATGATACCCAGTGCTGGCAAGGTTGCGGTGAGAGAGACGTTTTTCTGAGAAAGCATTTAGTTGTTGGCAGTATGGTAGTTAGTGGTGGTAGGACTTTATCTTTCCTTCCCTCCCTCTGTCTCTCCCCTCCCTCCCTCCGTCTCTTCCCTTCCTTTTTGTATCCCAGGCTGGCCTGTGCAATCAGGGGCCTTTGCCTCCTGGTCTTCTCGCCAGGGCCTAGGTTGCAGGCGTGTGCCCTCAGGCTGGGCTTCTGCGGTGCCAGGATCTAAGCGGGGCTGCACGTGTGCTGGACACTCCACCACGGCGGCTAACGTCCAGTCTTGGCACTGTCACTTTCGGAATCAAAAAGCAATCCGAGGGAGACAGTCTTCACCGATTGCTAATGGACTTCTTTGCTGTAGGAATTTTGATCAGAAGCACACAGGGCCTGCCCCACCAACAGTCTGTGGGTTACACAGAGTCAGAGAGAGCCAAGAACGTGGCCCGACAAGAAACTGTAAACATACTTAAAACATTATGAAAAAAAATTTTTGCAACTCAATCACACACTTCCTAGGTGTGAACTTTGTAGATGACAATATTGTATTTCAATACCCAAACAGTGACACATCAGTCCCCTCCCTAATTCAATGTCCTTTCTCCTTACTGCTCCTGCAGACAATGGCCTTTGAAAGGCTGGCATTTCATTATTGCCCTGACTTACTTATCTGTGGTCTTTAACATCAAGAATAAAATCTGCCGGGCGGCGGTGGCGCATGCCTTTAATCCCAGCACTCGGGAGGCAGAGCCAGGCAGATCTCTGTGAGTTTGAGGCCAGCCTGGGCTACCAAGTGAGTTCTAGGAAAGGCACAAAGCTACACAGAGAGACCCTGTCTCGAAAAACCAAAAAAGAAAAAAAGAATAAAATCTAACACATAGTGAATATTCGGTAGAACCCTGTAAGGTCAGTAGATGATATCATGATGGCGGAAACATGCGGCCTGTAGTTAGAAAATGCAGATGAGCTAGAAGGTAAAATTGGTCACACCACGATGACGACGAGGCTACAGGGAACGGTGACACTATCAATACAGTCACAGTCTCTTTGGGAGGAGCTGGAGTTGGCAAATGTGTGATCACCAAGCCAGAGAATCTGCCTTGAACTGTTTTCAGAGAAAATCCACTTTCTTAATCACTGAACATTGGGGATGGAGGAAGACGGTGGGAGAGCCACGTCCCCGGCTTGCCACAGGGCCTCGTCACCCAGTCCTGACACCTGACATTACTGGCACTCCTCAGTTGCCCTCTGATTTATTTCAGACTGGCCCTGTGTTTGCGCTGTAAGCTGTGGCTTGTACAGCGTTTACTCCGGGGCTTCCTTACTCCAAGGAAGCAGGAGCAGGAGCAGGAGCAGGAGCAGCAGCAGCAGCATCGTGGCCACTTGGAGCTTGTTAGAAACTCAGGCTCTCAGGCCCTGACAGGCCAATGGAATCAGCATCTGCACTCAACAAGATTCACAGGGAGGGTGCATGCCCATAGTCTGTTATGCAGACATTTCCCACCTTCCTATGCAAGGGACTCCTGCGTTTCAGTGACCTTCTCTTGTACAAAGCAGGATCCAGAAGGAACGTACCCACTTATTTCCGCTGTCCATTCATTTTGGCCTTATTCTTGCTTGCTATTCAGCAACAGTAAAGACTTCTGAAACTTCATATGCACTAGGAAGTCTTTAACTGGGGGAGAGGGATGAGCACCTCAATAGGACAGATGATACACGATGATAAATCAAGGTCCTGCATGTTCTGTACTTTGAGTGGGGAAAGTGGGGAAAATGTCCACTGGGAAAGCAACATTGCCTTCTTGAGTAGAGAGCGCCATGGAAGCAGCATTGGGGGCCTTCCTTAAAGAAGGGAGGGGTTTGAGTTCCGGGACAGAGGTCAGCAAGGGCATACCCAGTTTCCACTGGGAGAGATGGGAACGTGCGGGGTGTGTTCAGACACAGCCATTGCAAGGGGGGCCGGGGGACAGTGGTGTAGACGGAAAGGAACCTGGGACCAGCTGCTGGCATTGTGCCACTCACGGGAGATTGAGGATTTGGGATTTGAAGCAGGTTGGCACTATGGCTCTTGATAGCGGTTTAGGGAGAGTTCCCTGGAGAGGAGGAGGATGTATGAATGTCAGCAGGGTGGCGGCGCTGGAGTACTGAGCAGCGGGTGCTGTGGGGGGACAGAGCAAGGGAGGAGAAGCTGCGTGCCAACTTGGCGAAGGCTCAGTTAAATGCTTTTTTTCTGTCTTTTGTCAAAGTGTACAAAAGCCTCTTGACTCTTACCTGGGCGAAGAGTGCAGTTATAAGCAAGTAAATAGAGAACCCTTCTTGGCTTGTTAATGTGAAACATTGCTTTGCATTGACCATAAACCTAGAAAAACCAAATATATTTGATGGTGTGATGCGGAGACCCATGATGAGTTAACACCCCTGCTTCCTACTCCACCCCCCATCCCCTGCAAGTGGAATTTTAATGTAACGAGAAATCAAGTAAAATCAAGTTCTGTGGTTTGGGGGTGGCAAGAAGTACTGTTTATCATCACACTGTCTAACCTACTCCTGAGACACAGCCACCTGCTCAGCCTGCTCACACTTAGGTGCTAATCACCGAATTCTAACCACAGGGACAGAGCAGAAACAGTTTCCATTGCCACGCTCCGAGGCCACGTCAGCACGCTGTCTTTCTCTGTCCTTTGTCTTTTGATAGCCTGATGCCAGTGAGCATGGGGACCAGGAAGCCACAGGTTGGAGGTGGCAAGGTCAGAGACAAGCACAGGAAAAATCAGGGCCTCCAAATCACGCCCAGGATAAACATCCCCTGGCCAGGAGCTTCAAGTTTGAAATTACACGAGAAATCAACTCCTAACCTGTGTGCTCATGAGCAAGCACACACTTCTCTGTCAGTGACCCATGTCACTAAACCAACTATAACAAGAGGGCACACAGACGATTTGTTTTTCAAAATCAGGTGCAGGTTGGCATGTTTGATCAAATAATAAGGAAAGGTGATCTTGGTCAAGAAGTTTATTCAAACTCCCTCTTGTCATCCATGGCTGTCTGTGTCAGTGCATGGAAGAGATCCCAGAACCACCGAGAGGCAGGGCCAAACTGGCTCCACTGGTTTGGCCATCTTTGAAAAGGTGAGCTCAAGGTCAGAGAGATGGCTTAGTGGTTAAGATACTTGCTAGTCTTCTAGAGAACCGGAGTTTGGTTCACAGCACCCATATCAGGTGACTCACCACCATCCGAAATTCCAGTTCTGGGGGAGGGGGGTTCTTACA